ATCTGGGGCTAAAGAACAGATTTCTTTTACAAAACAGCATTGTTGCGTGGGTCAGAATGCCCACCTCTTTGCAATTTTCTGTGCCGTCTCTTTGCCATTGACATTGGCTTCTCCTTAGAGGTCATTCCACTGACTTCGCTCTGGAACAGGGTCAGCCCAAAACTCTAAGGTACTTGGGATGAAATGCCTAATAGTCAGTGCATTATTAAAATGGATTTTTTTTTTTTTTAAATTTAACAGCATCATCTGTTGGATTATTTTTTTTTCTCTTTTTGGGAGGCAGTATCTCTCTCCAATCCTAACATGACCTTCCTCGTGGTCTATTGCCTCCAGATGGCTGGTTTCAATGAGGTGCTGGGTGAAAACCAAAGACTGAACTAATCTACAGTTATGTGTGATGGACTTATAATGCTTAAAAGTTGCAGTCTACAGGACTGCAAAAATAGATTGCTTCTTAATTGCAAATGAGGCTGAAGGATCTCACACCTCTTCTGACAGCGCACCTCCCATTACCACCTTCCTCAGGTTGCTGCCTTGATTCTCAGCCTCTTTCCTCACTCTCACTCTTGTATGCACAGATTCTCAAAAAGTGTGATAATGTGACTGTTTTTTCATGAGTCTTTTATGGCACTGACAAAGGAATTTGGTTAAAATTAAGCCCATATGACAACCACAAAGTTTAAAAATCTAATAAAGAAAATGAAAATAATAGAAAAGTCTGAGAAAAAGCCCATGAAAATAATAGAAAAGTCTGAGAGCCAGAGATTCTAATTAAACCCTTTACTACCCAGGAGTAAATTAGGCAACTAGAGTTAGTAAAACCTGTCAGATCACTAACACATCATTTGAACAATCACTTTAAATTCTAGAAAGTTCTCTGAGTCCCATTTTAGCATATGGTATAATACCCAAGTGGTATCTAATTTGGAGATTTCTAAACTGTGCTTCCGTCAAACATTGATTTCCACACCATGGACTAAGTTTTACCACTGCTAGAACTGAACAGTGGCAAATTTTTTCCACTACAGAAGATGTTCTCACTTTTTAATTTTGTCTACTTTACTTTACAATATAGTACTTCAGTATAGATAGTAAGATGCTAGTTGACTTCAATCCACCCCCTAAGGGCAGCTAGTTAACATCCACACTCCAGGAGAGATTTCTTAGCAGGTTAAATTCCCTAACCAGAGACCATACCACAGAGAGGGTTAAAGGCAAAGCTTTTGAATATCACTATCTATACTCGCCCCAGAAGTTTAATAATTAGCATAAGTTTTATTAGAGATTATGGGTGAGATATAAAGATCTGTATCTGCCTCTCTGCCCTTATGTGAGTGGGGCATGTACCCATCAGGGTTTGGCCCGTAAAAGAAGCCACTCTAGATATTTCACTAGGGAAGGGGTATTGGCCAGGGATTTAAAGTTTTATAGACCTATTAGAAAGTCTGGGAAAGTGAAGGTCAGAGAAACTGCCTTGAAGAATTCAGGAAAGCAGGAAGTGCTAGGATCAAAAGGAGCTACAACTGATATCCTTAGTGGGTGATGAAGAAGGGGACACCTGGAAGCCACTCCCACAATCTCACATCTACCATGTGCAGAAAGACTTGCCCCTGGCTGCAGCTGCCAATGCCCTTTCATTTTCTTGATTCCACAGAAGGGCTTCTCGTCGACAGAATATGACCCAGAACTCCTGCTAGCGGGAGAGTTTACAGACTATAGTTTCCTAGCCTCTAGCCCTACCTAAAAGAGAGAATTTAAAAGAGAAGAAGGGATGATTTTGATTGTTAACAAGCACTATCAGGTATAGGGCATAGGAATTTGGCAAGTCCAGCATAGTTTTAAAGTGTGTCTTAGATCTAGTATAGCCGTCTCCAGTAGAACTCTCTGCCAGCTATGAAAATGGTCTATATTTGCACTATCGAATATGGTAGCCACTAGTGCCATGTGGCTGTTGGGCACTTGAAATGTGGCTAGTGCCACTAAGGAATTGAATTTTTGAGTTTTATTCCATTTTAATTAACTTAAATTTAAAGAGCTACATATAGCTCATGGCTACTGCATTGGGCAGTGCAGATTTAGAACTCTCTTGGGTCCTGTTCCCTTCTCCCCTTGCATTTAATGGAAGATATATCATTGCCTGATCTGCCCTGAAGTTTCCCTGAGCCTGCCATCTGATATTTTTTTTTTTGTTGTGTGTTGAAAATTTCACATAAGGTCCTTGTTAGGATGACTATATGATAGAGTTGTATGTGGGTGTTGGATTTCACTGGGCCTACAGAATTGGTCTTCTGACTGGTTTTGATGTCAACTTGCTAATAAACATTCATTGAGTATTTGGCCAAATTCCATCTGAGACTCCCTATCACCCTAACATACATGGTAGCAAGGTAGTGGGAAGGCCACTGAAATAGTTACTACATATCCTAATAATTGTGATAGTTAATCAGCCTGATCAGTTTGCAACATACACTTTTTGCCCAGAGATGTTTCTCAGATCTTTGGAGACTGCAGTCTCTCTCCTGTTAGCAGATTAGCAGATGACAAAGCAAACAAAAACTACATAAATATTAACATCAAAATTCAGATAAGCTAGCTGCTCTCCATTGAATAACTTTTTAAAATGTGAGCATATGTTCATGGTATTTTTTAAAAAATTCATACACGTAACACAAATTCCCTGTGTATAAAATTGTTCCTAATTTATGTGGTTAAATCTGCATTACAAAGCGTGACAAAGACAGCCCAGTATCTACAACAGATCCCCGACTGCCAAATGCTCTGCCACTTGGAGAACCACTGTCCTGCTTGCTCCACGTGTAGGGTTTATACACTCCTTTCTATTTATTGTCCCAAAATGACTAGACCAAGGACCAAGGTGAGTGTTTTCATGACTTCATGACACATATTTTTCAGCTGTAATGAAAAGAACATTAGCAAATCAGACTATTTTTCAGTTGTTTCCCAATCAGGTAAAGAGAAAACTACTGATGGCTTAAATGTTACTATTTTTCATTTTTCTTACACTTGAATACTCTCTGTCCCAAATGCCTGTCTGCATTTGTCGTCCTTAAAAATTGCTCTCAAGATCTAAAAAAGTGATGTTACCTATTAAGAACTGAGTATCATAGAAATGATACCACATTGTTTATTCATCATTCCTGGAGTTCAGTTTACACAAAGTTTGGCATCTTCAGGTAAGGTAATTATCTCTTTACCTGATGGAGGATAAAACTGTTTAGCAGTTGTCTTCAGAATGATGCAAATTCTTTTTCCCAAGGGAAAAAGCCAAGGAAACCAGCTACTGGGGCATTCGCCTAGGAAGCAAAACCTCTGTATTGCCACTTCCTAGATTGTTCTTCAGCTCCAACATAATTCATCTTTATACAATTGCATATAGGACATCCTGGGACCAGGGATTTGCAGCTTCAGTGGTTCTTTCTAGCACTCCCTCTGCATTGCTTTGTCCTTTTCCTGCAGACCAAGGGGCAGACCAGGGGGAGCCCTGCGGGGGTAGGAAGTGTGTCAGGACATGGAGGATGTCTCTCCACACAGCTGAGCACAGTGGTCGGGGAGGAGGATGGAAGGCAGCTCCGCCTTAGATTCCTGCGAGGGAACAGATCATTTGTGTGGGTTACAACTACACAGTCGCCCACTGGGGCAAGGGCTGGGAGAACAAGAGGGGGTCAGGAAGGGACTAGTGCAGAAATAGTAAAGGTCTCCCCTTCTAGATACATTTGGGGCTCTGCCCTCTCTCCTCTGTATTAACACATTGACTGCCACACTAGAAAAAAAATTTTTCCCTGGGGCCACGGTGTTTCATTAAAACCAAATGATCCTTTCCAATTTGTTATTTTTTTATTGTTTTCTGTATGTGAGTTATGTGCAATGCAGTCCACGTTTTTCAAATTAAATTGGCAATATTAATTGTAACAATAAGAACATCAACAAATAAGATTTTCGTGAACCAGCTGCAGGTTTTGCTTCATGAGGCTCCGGACTTAAAACTAGCCTGAGTTCAATGCAACTCACATGACAATCAATGTGTTAGTGAATTTTCTCATGTAGGGGACTTATTTAGCACGGATAACCCATATTCCCACCCTTTAGCTTAAGTATCTGTTGGTCCTACTGGCACATTTGTGATACTCAGGGGTGATGATAACACTTTCTGAATGATGTGACAAGATCTTACTTTCAGATTAGCCCACACATTCCAATGGTGAGTGCTTAAATCTCATTCAGCTTCTTGTAAAACCATATTAAGCTTTGATGCAAAACTAGACTCTCCATCGAAAACTGTCAGCTCAAAATGTGCTGCCATGATAACTTAATTTATATTAAAATAAAACCATCACTTCTTCAGTTTAATCATCAAACCTTTGGTTTTGGCTGCAAGGAGGACTTAGATTGCAATGAGTGTCTGTCTTCTAGAGTATTTCAGAGACCTGTGGATGATTCTCTGTGCAGCATAATAACAGTTTGCAAGTTCAATCAATATGCTGAGGTGGTTCATGAAAATCTTTATGTTCTTTTGGCCCCTGGTAAAATTCGACAATGCTGAAACATTCTATTTTGATTCTTAAATTGGAAACAAAACATCTAATGAATAAGGAAGCATAATCTATTAGGAAATTTTGCTTGCTCTTGAATTACTTGTTTGCATGGATTAATGGTTGACTTTTTACAAGAGTGATTTAAAAAGCTTCTGGATGTATTTCCTAAACAGGATTTGTGAGGTTTTTAATGCTTTAAAAGACAAAGTTGGAACCAAACTGAGCTGTCAAGTTTTTTTTTTATTTCTTTTTCTTTTAAGTAGACTTGAAATTGCTCTTGGAGTCAAACTGACCTTAGATTGCTTAACAGAGTTGTGCCTGATGCTTTCCAAAAAGCAGATACTATGATCTTGATATATTTCTAAATATTGAATCCTCCCCCACTACCCCCTAATCTTTATCCATGGATGCAGAGGTGCATTGGTAAAGCCCTCTTGTCTTATCTCTTTGCAGGCTTGTTGATCGGTGCTGGATGCGCCCTCTACCCCCTGGGCTGGGACAGTGAGGAAGTCCGGCAGACTTGTGGCTACATTTCTGGCCAGTTCGATCTGGGTAAGCTCACTCGTGGATGCCACTCATTTTAGAAAGCAAACCTTATCTGATGTTTCATAGAATCAGAAAGCAGAAAAGGGACGCATAAGAAAAGTCTATCTTGGTATTGCAGTAAGCACTCATGTGTGACAATATAAATTTGTTTAGTGAAGAGTTACTGATAATCTACTGTTTGCCCAGTACTGTGATGAGTGTTGTAGACACAAAGGTAAGAAAAAGCCCCTGCTCTCAAGAGTTTATATTCACTGATGAATTCATTCAAAATCATATATTTATCACCATTGCATGTGCCAACAGCAACTCTGACTGTGGAATTTGCAGTCTATCTGAGAAGGGAGGCAAACGAAACAATCAAGGAAATGACAGCAAGGGCGAAGGAGTCCAAAGCAGTTTCACTCTAGGTTAACAGACCTCTTTGGGAAAGGGTGAGCATGGAGCTGCCGGAGCTGAGTCCTGTACAAGTGACGCACGTGTGTCATCAGGAGTAGACGGAAGCACCTCGGCAAAGGCATAAGAGAGGAATGAGAAAGCTCCTTAGGAGACTGCAGAGATTCCAGCAGCAGGAACAGCAAGGCGCCACGCCCAGACATGTGACTGAATGATCAAGGACCAATGTGTACTAATAACATTTCAGATATATTTCACTTGTAGCCATAGCGTATTCTACTTTGCAATCTATGAAAAATTTTGCAGAGCACCGCATGGGTTGCATCATTTTAATTTGTAATCATTGGATAGTATTTCACTTGCTTGATAACCTTATATTTACTTAGCCACTTCCTTATTTCTTTCTGATTGGGCATTTCTTCTGTTCCAGTTTCCATCATGTTAAGACATAGTGTAATGAGTAGTTTAATGAATATAGGTGTTCGTTCTACTGAATCATTTTCTTAGAGTCTTTTTCTAGAATTGGTGTTACTAGAACAAGGAATATGAACCCATAAAACACTTATTGCTATAGGGGAAAAGAAATACCTTTTTCTCACCTATTGCTAGATTCAAGGCTAAGGCTTCTATAATAAAAGGCAAATTAGCAAGAGAAAAAGCATACAAAGTTATTTAAAATAAATTTTACATGGCATGAAAGACTTTGTAAAGAAATGAAGACTTGGAGAAATAGGTAAGCCTGTGTGCTTTTTATGCTAGGTTTGATGAAGCAGTGGGTAGTCGTGCAGAAGTATTATCAATAGTGTGATTGAACAAAGGGGGTATGCTCTAATAGTAATAAACTGGAGAACTTAGCAAGGCCTGCCTGTTCAGGTTCCTCTCTGTGTCCTTGTGTCTTCAGAGATAAGAATTTTCTTTCTCTCTAGGTATAGGAAGGATGGCTGTCAAATGAGGTTCTCATGACCTACGTCAGGGGAAGGTCATTCCATTCCAGGGAGAAGGGCAGGGGGAAGGTGAGGGTGACCACACTGTTTCTGCTGTTCTTTCACGGGCCGAGGTGCTGAATTTGGAGGTAGTGTGTCCTGAAGCCCATCACTGCCAGGTGATAGGAAATATATTTTCCCTACCATATGGATAGACAGGCTGAGAGCCTGACTATTGGTACATAGTAAGTTGCTCACTTAAACTCCTACTTTTCACATTCAATATTTTATTGTAAGAAGAAAAATTCTGAGGGATTTTGTCTAATGGTAGTATTAATACATCCCAAATAATTATTTCTAAATTTCTATAACTTCTATGAAAAAAATTTTCTGTTAGATACTGAAAAAAATGGACAGAGGTGACACAACATCATAGGTCTATTAATTTGAAAATGATGCAAATTTTGTTTGACTTAATGGATGGCAACCACCCTCCTTCCTTCCCTGAAAGATAATACTGGCTCTTTAGGTAGAGACGACTGTGTTCTAAATACCACCCAATTTGCATGAATAAAAAAATAAGAGATTTCCATTTGCCCATTCTTCTCTCCAAATCTGGATTAGTTTGTGATGGCCATAAATGTAGAGAAGGGAAAAAAATGCTGAAATGCTGGCACAAAATTGACTGTCAATGTTTTTTTTTTTTTTTTTTGGAAAGCAAACGATGTCCAGAGGAGATATTTTAATACGGTGTTTGGCATCTTTCTTGCCCTGGTGTTTGAGGCATTCTTGGCTGTTTAACACAGGCCCCAACTTGATTAGAATCCTGTCATTGCTGATCTGTTGTCATTGTGTGTTGCTGTATTAATTAGCAGATTATAATGAAACTCAGGTCCTGTCATTGCAGTTTTCATTACCACACCCCAGTCTTTGCATCTTCTCAGCATTGTGGGTTATAATTTTGAATGTCAAGCTAAAACTTAAAAAAAATACTTGCCTCTTTGCTAGTGGTAATTATTTCTTATGCTATTAAACTCACTAACACCATTTTGGCAATTTAAGACACCATGGTGTTTTCATTTCTGTTTTTTGTTATTAAATTTGTCTTAGAATGGATGATGAGAAGAAAAAACTGGCATCATATACAGGTAAAATGAATTCTAGGTCCCCTGAATAATTTTGGGGGGTTTATCAAGTTCTGTTTCTCCAAGTTACTATTATCTTTGTGGACTCTGTCAATTTTTCTTCCGAAAGAATATCTAAAAAGAAACTGTGGCACAGAGACATCACTAGGCCCATCCCACCTACCTTCCTATGTTTTCTCCCTTTAAAAAATCATTACTATTTCCCTGAATGCTGATGAAGGCTGAACTTCAGTGAATTAGTGAAGTCACAAATTATGGAGTTAAATTGAGAGGGTACCTAGGACCTCTAGGACCAGGGTTGTGAGTCACAGCGTGAGTCTGTGGGAATTCTCAGTAAGGACGGGGCACAGTTCTAGTGGCATACATGTTGCTTGTCTCTGCCACACCCTGCCGCTGCCACATCTGAGAATATGAGCTCATTTCTTCCTCTTCATCTTCCTCCCAAGAGTTGGGGAATGTTAATGTTTTTAAAGCTCATGCTCTCCTTACTGTAGAACTTGGGTCACTTTTTGGCATGCTGTTTTTGAAATGTTGTTACTCTCTCATCTAGAGCATCCTAAAAGAAATAATTGCTTTTGTTTCTATGTGGATGATTATTTAAGGAATGCATTCATTTCAATTACTCAGCCAACAAACATTTATGAAGTGCTGACAGTGTACAGCCCCTGGGCCAGGTGCTGGGGATATGGCATCAGCGATGAATAAAAAAAGAGATTATTCACTGCCCTTTAGGAAACTAAAACTAGCAAGAGAGGCAGATATTCAAAAAGGTAATATATGTGTGAAGTACGTTAGAAAGAAAAAGTATTGGGTGCTGCAATGGGCATTGTTACTGACTTGCCGACATTATTCCACCCTGGTTGGTGAGTCTAAGCCAAAGGTTGGCAAACATTTCTATAAAGAGCCACATAGTATTTTCAGTTTTGCAAGCTATCTGGTCTTGGTTGCAACTACCCAACACTGCAGTTGTACTGTGAAATATAATAGGTGGTCCCAATAAAACCTGTTACAAAAACAAGCAGTGGGGCCATAGATTTATTATCCCCCATCTCAGCCAAAGAATAACCCTGGTATACCAGAAATGGTTTCATTTCAGATGTGCTCATTCATTGATCCCTGCAGCCCCCAGGGCAGCTGGTCAGGTTCTAGGACAGTTGAAGATTGCACTGAGCAGCCCCATCCAATTATCCTAGCGTGCTGTATGAATACTGCAGTTTTCTTGTTGGGTGGCAGTGGGAAATATGGTGGCAAGTACTGTCAATCAACCTTGGCCACCCCACCCCTGACACTGGCATGGGATGGGAAGGCTTAAGCCCATTTGAGGCAGTGAGACTAGAGGCTTCTGAAGATGAAGGGATCCCACGTCCGAGAGGGAGGCAGCAGAAGCCATGCTCTCTGTCCTCTGGCAGGCCCCTCTGACCAGGTGGAACGGCAGGAGCAAACAGTCTGCTAGAGTAGAGGTGAGCAAAGAAACCCAGCCTCTGGATCAGCCATCCCTGGTGCTGGCGTTCCCTGGGAACTTCCAAACTCACCGACACACAGTAATTCATCTCCTTATCAGCTAAGGTTTGATGGCTGTTTTCTCTTACTTGCAGCCGAAAGCACCCCGACTGGTATTTAGTTGCTAGTTCATAATTCAAGGGGACCTGACCTCACCTGGGGGCTTCCTAAGCAAGTATTACTTTTAGCTGAGCCCAAAAGGCTGTATGGGATTTAGGTGGGTAAAGATTGAGTGCTGGTGTGTATCAGGGTGGCATGGAGGGGTAGGCTGCAGGGAGGGCCAGGAGAAGAGCCAGAGAGGATCCTACTTTAAGTTCTGCTTCCCTGTTTGGACAGGTTTAATCCCAAGTATCAGCCATGGTACAAAATAATACTTTATTTAGTTCAGGGGTAGGAAAAGCCTCCTAGGGTAAGAACATTTAAACTGAGTTCAGAAATGTAAGTGGTAGTTAGGCAAGAAGGGATTTCATAAAAAGCTCGTGCTTGCAGTTGTGATGTGATAGGAATCTAAAGAACGTCCTTTAAAAATACCTCCTTCCCTTAGTAAGGAGTACTGGGGAGAATTTTTTTTATGTGTCTTAAAAACAATTTTATAAGTCTATTGATTCTTTCTCGAGCATTTTTAAATTTTATTACATACAGAACCCTGAAGCAATTTTGCAAAAGTACTCCCTTTTACAAATCAAAGGTCGTTACTCTGTTTACTTTTGGAACACATTAATTTATGAAGACACAAGGAGTCGGTGTGCATACACACATTTCTAAAGCAGAGAAACCAGCGTCCAAACAGGCTGCATAATGAGTTTGTAAATTCTCCAAATAAAATTGTACGGCTTGCCTTGACTGTAGCTCTCAACCGTTAGCATTAGAATCAGTAGTCGTCTTATTGAGAATGTAGATTTTTTAGTCTCCACACCTTAGAATTATAATTCTCTCATTTGTGGTTTAAACAGGTGTCCCACGTAATTGAGGTACAAGTTGTCGGTGATCATACTATGAAAAAACATTGCCCCAAGTTATATGGAAAATTAATTTTTTTGTACTT